ATATACCTTTGTAGGCTAAACCAATACCACATGTGTTAATTCATTGCGACAACAATGCACAATAGGTAGAGCACGTAATAAGTATTATAATAAAAAATTCAGATCTATAAGAAAAAGTACGGTACTATGAGATCATACTTAAATAATGGTGCAATCAATGTTGATTATGTGAGATCGACTAACTATGTGAGATCGACTAACAATCTTGCCGATCTATTAACAAAAGCTCTAGCTAGAGAAAAGATCTGGAGTACATCGAATGGAATTGGACTCAAGGCCAAATCAAACCCAAATCCGATTAAGTTACATACGAAGATACCCAACTTAGGGACTATAGATCCCAAGAACTAGGTTAATGGGACAAACAAATCATAAAGTGAATTGGTTTGTAGAACATGTATCAATGAAATTTATTTCTTTGTCTAAATTTTATATTCATTGTCAATCCCTATGATATAAAGTACATGTGATCTTGTAACGAAAATTTGGAGGATGAGATCAATATCTCTTAATGAGTTCTATAGCCCTATTTGGGTGGGATGTCTTAGTTACGAGAACATCTTTGATAAACTCACCTATATGAGTGTGGAAGATAGGTTGTGCCCTATGGGAATTTGGGCTAATTTTCTAGAGCACTCAAGAAACTGGGATAAAACACAAGGCCAAAAATGTGCTGATTTTTTAAGCTTGGTTTATGACAACTTGAATATCATGTGTGTAATATAATTCTAAGTACCCTCAAGTAGTCATCGTTTAAAGGCTAACTCCACTTTGACTCTAGTATGGGAACATTAAAATACTAAGTAAAGGTTTAAAGGCATTGCCACTTTTATAATGCACAATATTCTATTTATTTCTCGGTTACTTATGTAGTGTATGTTTTATTAAAGTAAGTGGGGGATTGTTAGAGTATTTTAACTAAAAGAATATTTCTTATGTGGGAACTCAATCTCACATTGACTAAATTTCTAAAAATACTTGAGTGTATATATATATATATATATATATATATATATGCTAGTGTTATCTAGCATTTGAGTTAAAGTGAGACTTTGAGACTCTCACCTGCGTAAGGGTGGGATAAGCGGAGGAAATATGAATTTCTAAATCTATAAAACACACTGATTAGCCTAGTTCACACCCCAGGTAGCAAGTCCCCCTGTTTTAATATTTTATTTAATTATTTTTTCATCATTACTCCTATATTAAAATTTCAGTTGTTGAATACAAAAAGTTTCAATGGCTAGTGTTCCAACAACCATTGTTTTAAAGTTATTATCTGATTAAATATAGGAGTAATTCTGGAATATTAAACACTTATATTATTTGTATATATATATATTTACATATTTCAGTTTAGAAAATATACAATCTAATAATTACTATAATCTCTCTACTGTATAAGTTTCTGGACAATATTCAATTGTATCGTATGAAGCTTCTGCTTCATTCGATTGTGCAGATATAAGTGAAGCAACAACCAATAGACTTGGTTGTTGTATCCTTTAGATGATGCGTTGTTACCTTCTGCGCTCTATTTCTTTCATAAGGGGCGCAAATTGTCTTAAGAGAGCAATCTAGTCCGCACCTCACTCTGTCGTTCATTTTATTTTTTGCATCCCATTTTTTCTAATATTTCTCAAAAAATATGCATCCAAAGTCCTTATCTAAGCTCTACATAGTCCACACAAGATTTGATAAATCTAGATGGTAGGAAGATGGGATGGTCCCACAAGGAACATCCCCACTCCCCCCAAAAAAAAATCAACACGCAAAATGAACAATGCAAGGAGGCTATTTGGAACATTAATCGGTTCAAAGCCATGAAAATCTTGAAAAATTTGTTTGGTACTTTGCATAAACTATTGTGCACCAACGAGCACAAGTAAAGGAATGACAAAACTTACAAAAATGTTTTTTATATTATTCATTGTAGGAGTACAAGTATTTATAGAGGTTTATTAAAGTGAGATTGGAACAATCGATTTGGTAAGATTTAATGAGATATATTGCTATCCAAAATAAGGGATAAGAGATAAGGGCAGATTGAACTAGTCATTATCTCTGTTATGCCCTGCAAGTGAAGTGCCCGTCTAAGGAGACTGAGCTTGTCCTGTAGCAACTGAAAATGAGGTGTAGAGGTTGGTTTTGTGAGAATGTCGACAATATGGTCCTTCGTTGAGATGTATCAAACATCAAGATTACTTGCAACAATATAGTCGCACATGAAATGAAATGCAATTTCTATGTGTTTCATGCGATTATAGAAGATCGGACTGGCTGTGAGATAGGTTGCACCAAAATTGTCACACCATAAGATCGGGCGTTGAGCCTGAGAACAGTGGAGTTCTTTGAGAAGGGATTGAATCCAAAGTGACTCGGTAGTGGCATTAAGCAAGTGCACGATATTCGGCTTTGATGCTGGAGCGGCCTACAACCCGTTTTTTCCTAGAGGACCAAGATACAAGGTTATTCCTGACACTACAAGAATATATATTTTTTGTGACGGTGAAAAACTGCTGTAAAAAGTATATTTGTCGTCACAAATATTTTTTGCGACGGTTTTACGGCGGCATTTTGTAGTCGCAATAGGCAATGCCACAAAAAGTATTTGAGCGGCATTATGCCGTCGCAAAAAACATTAGTGACAGAAATTGTCTTACACAAATAATGTACCCCGTTGATGTATTTAGAACTTCGATGCCGAGGAAAAAGTCAAGAGGACTAAGATCCTTTATAGAGAAATTCCTTGTTGGACTGGGTAATAAGAATGGATGGACGTCGTGGAGCTTCTAGTTATAATTAGATTGTCAACGTCAACAGCACAGAAAGGAAGGAGTTGGAGGCAAGGCGAGTAAACAGAGAAGTGTCCGTTTGGGAGGAGGTAAAGCCATGACTAATGAGAAAATTACTTAGCCGTGCAAACCAAGCACGAAATGCTTGCTTGAACTCATATAAGGATTTTAAAAGGCGGCACACATGATTTGAAAATTGAAAATCAACGAAGCTCGAAGTTTGTGTCATATAGATGACCTCATTGAGAATTCCATGAAAGAACACATTGTTGACATGCAGTTGCCGTATTGGCCAACCACGACAGGTGGGCAATGCTTAAAACAGTGCAGATGGTGACTGGTTTAATGACGGAACTAAATGCTGCAGTGTAGTCAATGCCCTCTTGTTGATTGAAGTCTTTGGTGACAAGGCATGCTTTATAGTGCTCAATTGTTTCATTAGTTGTTTTGTTGATTTGACAGATCCACTTGCAGCCAATAATATTGATTTGGGGCCGAGGATGTTCGAGTGTCCAAGTGTCATTTTTAATCAATGCATTGAACTCCTCTGTAATGGCAGTGCGCGAGGCGGGAATGCAAGAGGTGGCAATGACTCCAAATGAAATTATTTTAGATGGCGATTGACTAAGGTAGCATTGAGGCATTGGGTGTTTAGTAGTATAGTTGATGATTTTGGGTTGACGAGTACTGCCGTGAGATTGAGTAACCATTGCATGGGTGTTACCAGGTGGTTTAAAAGTGACAGGTTAGGTATGAGAAACGATAGAGGGTGTGGATGCTGGTCGTATTGGCACATGGGCAGTGGTGTCTGATTGATGGTGAATTGGTAAAGCAGGTGTTTCTACAGAGGAGGAAAGTTGTGATGCTCGGCGCTGGACAAGGTGTTTGAACAGTAACAACAACAGTCGATATTGGAGAAGAAGAGTAGACAGGTAGAACAAGAGGCGGAGATGGGAGAATAATAAAGTCGGGCAATAAAGGAGGAATTTTAAGAGCTGCTTGCTGGTCTGTCAAGCGAAACAAGGCAACATAAATATGAGATGTAAATTTTTTGGAATGTTGGATCGACGCTGGGATAACTGTGATGGGAGGAGCTGTAGCCAAGGAACACAAATCTTGTTCAATGGTAAGTTGAAACACATGTTATTGTCTTGAGGGAACACTTGATGGTGCCGTCAATATAGGCGAGAAACTGGTGACCGCAGAGATGCGGCAAAATTTGGGAAATCCTAATGGGGTAATTGGTTTCAGTGAGTTTTGTAGCGAGAATGGCTATGTGCGCATTGAGCATAAGAAACGTAGGATGAGTGACCGATGGTTGCGGCCTTGATGTGTTTTCCACATCTGTGGAAGAGCTGCCCATGTTGAAGATGATGGAATATTGTTTTTAAAGAGAGGATAGGGTAAGATCTTACTATGATATTGATGATGTTCTTAACACGATTGAGCAGTGATGTAAATATAAGGTGTATTGAACAGGTAGATGCAATTCAATCTGAGATCCAAGGCTCTAGCGAATGGGATTTGGTAATAGATGGGTGATTACATAGAGCGTTTATAATAATTCACCAGTTCGGGAGTTCGGATAATCCACTCTCAAAAGAGTCTCTTCCTCCTGAATATATTGATTACTTGAAAGTTTACAGAGAAATATTTCTAGTGAGGCTAATATGATCTGTTGTCATTTTCGAGAGTTTTGTCCCTTATTTATAGCTATCACTGGCCTTAGCTTGATTTGAGGCGAGATCCTCGCCCATTTCTCGTTACGGTTGGCTTTATTTGCGCAATGGTTGTAGTTGATGTTAGGGCAATTAAAAGACTAGCACCTGCTGAATAACTGTTGCTACAAAACGGAGTACTTGACAGAATCCAACTATCTTTGGCATAACCTTCCTTGATATGTGAATACAAGGAGTTGAGGTCGTCTGCAAATAATATAAATTTAGGTATTTTTGTAGTACCATTAGATACCATATAGGAATAACAAACCTTAAAAAAAAAAATTTCTATATTATTCATTGTAAGAGTACTAGTATTTATAGAGGTTTGTTACAATTAGATTGATACAAATCAATATGACAATATCTGATGACATCTATTGGGCAGGTTGAACTAGTCATTATCTCTGTTAACAATGCATAAAACCGTGCTCCGGAATGACCCTTAGGGGGATCTTGGCCACAATAACAATAATAATCAGTAATCGACACAAACCATTTTTGTAAGTTTTACAATCCACACATTTACGTATGCAATACATAAACTAAGCTCAACATTACACGAAACCATATAAACTAATTCCCAAAGGAATTACAACAGAATAAACTTACCCCAATATCCATAGATGTCACAATGTTCGTATATGGATCTTTTAACAGATCAACGTCCATCAAAACCATGGAAGCATAATGGCTACATACTGTACAGATTCCATACGTGCTCTCCTTGCCAGTAATATTTCTATAAATTTGGAATAAGGATACCCTTTTTTTATAAGAGGAATAATGATACTTTTGGTTCTATGTATATCAAACAGAAGGTTTGAGTTTCACGATAATCTGAAAAATCTGTTACAAGGTGTTCTATCAAAACATAATCTTTTTTTTTTTTTTACAAACTTACCATGGTGCAAAACATTTTATATTTAAATTCTCAAGTTTAGTCTCAAAAAATTTAAAAAAAAGTGTCTTAACATCGTATTTTTCTCTGAATAAGATAGACCAAGAATAGGTTAGGTAATGACACACTAAATGTTGGTTGTAAAACTGAAAGGGGCCCTGAAAAGCACATACCAAACTGGAAAATTCGTGTTAAGTGAAGCCTATTCATAATCTGAGTTGTAAGGAGTAATAGTCTCAGCTTGTTGCATTCCCAGAGTCATATTTCCCAAGATCTGAAAATGTGAGCTGATGGGAAAGGAGTCTCTTCTCATCATTTTCATCAAAATCAAGGCTTTCCTCTTGTTCGTAACTGATTTCAATCACACTCCTCTCTTTTCCATGTAGCTCATCTGATCCTGAAATACGAGTTTGGGAGTATACTTGTCCTGAAGGATTGTCCATCTCCATCTCTTGCATTTCTGATTCTATTAAGGAATCCATTCTTGCCCGTTCCCTATCTCTTGGATAAGTAGAGTATAAGAAGGAGTAGATGAGGCAACAGATAGCCATTGGAATGCCAATTGCTGTGTAGAGTGCCTTGGCAAGTGCTGCAGCATTTTCTCTATCTGTTTCAATCTCTTGAGAATCTGTTGCTCCTTTTGTAACAGGTTTGTAACCGTATACATGCTGAGACAAAATTCCAACTATAGGAGGAGCAAATGATGCTAATATGGATTCAAAGGATCGATCCAAAGCGTAGATGCTCGTTCGAGATCTCTCTGGAACTATCTCTGCAAATATTGGACTGTAGACATAAAAACAAAAATGCATGGTTAAATAAATCATCAAAATTTCTGATGTTGTTTCATGCCTGAGTGCTACATGTGATGCATGGTATAGTAGTGCATTTGGAAGAAGCGATTTCAATTGCTCTGAAAGTATTCCCCTCCAAAAGCCAGAAACACTTTTAACCATAAGTTGGGTTTTTTCAGAAGTTTTGTGTGGCATCTAATAGCTCTGAAAGTAATTTAAGGGTCCCTATTATGATTATGCCCCACTTCTGTTCATGTGAATATTCACAAGCGAAAGCTAGAGATTCGAAGATCATGGTTTCCAATATTATCCAATATGACATAGAACCCAAAAAATTCTATAGTGGCACTCAGAAGTGTGAAACTAGAGAGATTCAAAGAAGCTATTCATCATATATTGTAAAGTTCTTGCCTGCCAAACCCCACAATAGAATATTCCACACACTTCTAGTTCACAGCTCCAACACCCCACAAACACCCTGTTATTCTCAAAGATAAGGAGAAAAAACATAAATGGTCAATAGAGACATACTTGTTCGTAGCTGCAGCATTCCAGGATATGATTAATCCCATGACGAATAAAACCAAGCCATGGATAAACACAGTTGAAGGATCATCAGGCAATACAAGCAGCAGTATTGCTGCTAAAGGAATGGCTGAACCAGAGCTTATCTGTGAGAGAATTATTCTCCCGGAATTTGGCAACCGTTTTGAGAGGATATCCCCCATCCTTCCCCCGAACAGAGCCCCAAGTGAAGTGGCAATGACAAAAACAGTCCAGAGAAATGCCGTTTCTTTGTGGGAGAACCCAATGAGCTCTAACCACATTGGGGCAAATGATAATGATGACCAAGGAAATGAACCAGATACACCTTGAGCAACAATTATTTGGAATGATGGAATTTTCACTACTGCCTTTGCTTCTTTAATCAGGTCCTTTACTTCTGAGGCAAGGGGTTTTGGTGGAATATGAGCTTTAGTTTTATTATCAGAATCAGAAAAGCAGGGATCATTGGCAAATAGGCGGACCAAAATTCCAACGATAACACTTATCAGTCCAACCAGATGGAAGGCAATCCTCCAACCAGGGATGCCCATGAATGATGTTGAGGCAATCAGCACAGAACAAAGCCCACCAATGATTGAGCCAAAGTTTGCTGTTAACTGTAGCCATCCAAAAGCCATACCTCGATTGCTGTCATCAGTAGAATCAGCAACAAGGGACAGAATAGCTGGTGTAACTATGGCAAGTCCTATCCCATTCAGACCTCTTGAAATTGCCACCTGAATGATCAGATGTCAACAAAAAGAGGGTTATTTCGTGCATGATTGGGAGATGCAAAGAGTCAAATGCATTCAAGAAATATGTCTCATTCAGTCCAGAGTTTATCTTCCTCAACCCAGCATGGACTTCTTCAATTAGGATTGATGTGCAAAAGATTTGAGTATTTTTATTTGTTTGCTTTATCAAGTGCGTAGGGTTTTTCCAAGTATCAATCTGCATGGCATTTGGGTCTCTTATCCTACTGTGGCTGCTCTTGTACTATATGACGGGACTTTCAATTAGAATCTCACGGGGTGAAGTTAGAAGTTTACATATTAGAAACTCACTCAACCAAGTTAACATGAATCAACAGCAAGATTTACATAGAAAATCACATGGATTCAGTGAGGCAGGATCCATTTCCATCTGCTGTAGTTTCATAGTAGGCGAGCGAGTTAGCAAAGATGCTTAGGCTAATAGAAAAGAGTGCATTAGTGCATACCATTTAACAACAGTTCATAGTGTGAATATTGGCTGAAAATAAAAGGTGTATTACATTCTTTTCACATGTCCATCACACTTGCCAAATTAGATGTCTAATCAATAGGTTCATACTCCATGCTCCCCATTGAAGGAGATGGATTAGTTGTTATTTGTCTTCTATGAATTTCACAGTGGTTTTAAATGGTAAACCAAGGGGAAGATTCAATGTTTCTAGGGGTTTGAGACTGGGGATCCGCTCACCTTTTCTTTTTACTTTGGTGGTTGATGGATTGAGTAGCTTGGTCGAGAGAGGAGTGGAATATAATTTAGTGGAAGGTTTTCTAGTGGAGAATGATAGGATTAAAGTTTTCATCTTCAGTTTGCGGATGACACCATTTTTTTCTCAACTAGAAACGAGCAAAAATTTTGCTGTTAACTGTAGCCATCCAAAAGCCATACCTCGATTGCTGTCATCAGTAGAATCAGCAACAAGGGACAGAATAGCTGGGGTAACTATGGCTAGTCCTATCCCATTCAGACATCTTGAAATTGCCACTTGAATGATCAGATGTCAACAACAAGAGGGTTATTTCGTGTATGATTGGGAGATGCGAAGAGTCAAATGCATTCAAGAAATGTGTCTCATTCAGTCCAGAGTTTATCTTCCTCAACCCAGCATGGAATTCTTCTTCAATTAGGATTGATGTGCAAAAGATTTGAGTATTTTTATTTGTTTGCTTTTTCAAGTGCATAGGGTTTTTCCAAGTATCAATCTGCATGGCATTTGGGTCTCTTATCCTACTGTGGCTGCTCTTGTACTATATGACAGGACTTTCAATTAGAATCTCACGGGGTGAAGTTAGAAGTTTACATATTAGAAACTCACTCAACCAAGTTAACATGAATCAACAGCAAGATTTACATAGAAAATCACATGGATTCAGTGAGGCAGGATCCATTTCCATCTGCTGTAGTTTCATAGTAGGCGAGCGAGTTAGCAAAGATGCTTAGGCTAATAGAAAAGAGTGCATTAGTGCATACCATTTAACAACAGTTCATAGTGTGAATATTGGCTGAAAATAACAGGTGTATTACATTCTTTTCACATGTCCATCACACTTGCCAAATTAGATGTCTAATCAATAGGTTCATACTCCATGCTCCCCATTGAAGGAGATGGATTAGTTGTTATTTGTCTTCTATGAATTTCACAGTGGTTTTAAATGGTAAACCAAGGGAAAGATTTAATGCTTCTAGGGGTTTGAGATTGGGGATCCACTCACCTTTTCTTTTTACTTTGGTTGTTGATGGATTGAGTAGATTGGCTGAGAGAGGAGTGGAATATAATTTAGTGGATGATTTTCTAGAGGGGAATGATAGGATTAAAGTTTTCATCTTTAGCTTGTGGATGACACCATTTTTTTCTCATCTAGAGACAAGCAAAAATTTTAGAATTTGGTGGAAATTGTTAAGGACTTTTAGCTTGGTTTTGGGGTTGAAGTGAATATGTCCAAGAGCTTAGTTGTTGACATTAACTCTTCTAGGTGTAAGATAGAAGATACCTTTAACTTAGGATTAGTCAGTTCTATTTCTCGATGGGGACAGAGAATGGATATAACTCAACAGTAGGGTGTCACCTTGACTTGGTGGAAGTCATCAGTTCAAGCCTGATTATCCCTAAACCCAATTTGGGTTTTTCTATTTTCATTTGCTCCCCATCGTGATTGAATGAGAATGGATGAGTGTGAGGCAAACGAGTGGCCATTAAAGTATCTAGGTCTTCTGTTGGGGGATAATCCTTTATTCCTAAAATTTTGGAATTCTGTTGTGGAAAGAGTGAAAAAAAGATTTGAATGGGTGGAAAAAGAGTTATGTGTGTTAAGTTGATAGGATTAACATAACACAATATTAGAGACAATATTAGGGCGAAAGAAAGAGGTTAAAAAACTTAACCTAACTCTCATACATAACTTGTATTTATACTTAACCTACAATAATAAGAATTGCACATACACTCTCGTACTATTAACAATTTACACATACTATCCTATTATTCTTAACACTCTCCCTCAAGCTGGACTATATATATCATATAATTCAAGCGTAGAACAAATAGCTATAAGACGTGTACGACTCAATACTTTGGTAAACATATGTGCAAGTTGATCTTCAGATTTCACAAATGGAGTTGTAATCTCCCCAACTACTATCATGTCCCGAATAAAGTGACAATGACCTCAATATGCTTGGTTCTCTCGTAAAACACAGGATTGACAGCGATATGGATGGTTGTCTGGTTGTCACAGAACAACTGTCAAGGAAGTTAAACTGCAAACCCAAGTTCTTGGAGAAAGTGTAGTAGTCAAGTTAACTCACTCGTCGTATGTGTCATTGCCCTATACTCAGCCTCAGCACTGGANGTTTCTAGGGGTTTGAGACTGGGGATCCGCTCACCTTTTCTTTTTACTTTGGTGGTTGATGGATTGAGTAGCTTGGTCGAGAGAGGAGTGGAATATAATTTAGTGGAAGGTTTTCTAGTGGAGAATGATAGGATTAAAGTTTTCATCTTCAGTTTGCGGATGACACCATTTTTTTCTCAACTAGAAACGAGCAAAAATTTTGCTGTTAACTGTAGCCATCCAAAAGCCATACCTCGATTGCTGTCATCAGTAGAATCAGCAACAAGGGACAGAATAGCTGGGGTAACTATGGCTAGTCCTATCCCATTCAGACATCTTGAAATTGCCACTTGAATGATCAGATGTCAACAACAAGAGGGTTATTTCGTGTATGATTGGGAGATGCGAAGAGTCAAATGCATTCAAGAAATGTGTCTCATTCAGTCCAGAGTTTATCTTCCTCAACCCAGCATGGAATTCTTCTTCAATTAGGATTGATGTGCAAAGGATTTGAGTTTTTTTATTTGTTTGCTTTTTCAAGTGCATAGGGTTTTTCCAAGTATCAATCTGCATGGCATTTGGGTCTCTTATCCTACTGTGGCTGCTCTTGTACTATATGACAGGACTTTCAATTAGAATCTCACGGGGTGAAGTTAGAAGTTTACATATTAGAAACTCACTCAACCAAGTTAACATGAATCAACAGCAAGATTTACATAGAAAATCACATGGATTCAGTGAGGCAGGATCCATTTCCATCTGCTGTAGTTTCATAGTAGGCGAGCGAGTTAGCAAAGATGCTTAGGCTAATAGAAAAGAGTGCATTAGTGCATACCATTTAACAACAGTTCATAGTGTGAATATTGGCTGAAAATAAAAGGTGTATTACATTCTTTTCACATGTCCATCACACTTGCCAAATTAGATGTCTAATCAATAGGTTCATACTCCATGCTCCCCATTGAAGGAGATGGATTAGTTGTTATTTGTCTTCTATGAATTTCACAGTGGTTTTAAATGGTAAACCAAGGGGAAGATTCAATGTTTCTAGGGGTTTGAGACTGGGGATCCGCTCACCTTTTCTTTTTACTTTGGTGGTTGATGGATTGAGTAGCTTGGTCGAGAGAGGAGTGGAATATAATTTAGTGGAAGGTTTTCTAGTGGAGAATGATAGGATTAAAGTTTTCATCTTCAGTTTGCGGATGACACCATTTTTTTCTCAACTAGAAACGAGCAAAAATTTTGCTGTTAACTGTAGCCATCCAAAAGCCATACCTCGATTGCTGTCATCAGTAGAATCAGCAACAAGGGACAGAATAGCTGGGGTAACTATGGCTAGTCCTATCCCATTCAGACATCTTGAAATTGCCACTTGAATGATCAGATGTCAACAACAAGAGGGTTATTTCGTGTATGATTGGGAGATGCGAAGAGTCAAATGCATTCAAGAAATGTGTCTCATTCAGTCCAGAGTTTATCTTCCTCAACCCAGCATGGAATTCTTCTTCAATTAGGATTGATGTGCAAAGGATTTGAGTTTTTTTATTTGTTTGCTTTTTCAAGTGCATAGGGTTTTTCCAAGTATCAATCTGCATGGCATTTGGGTCTCTTATCCTACTGTGGCTGCTCTTGTACTATATGACAGGACTTTCAATTAGAATCTCACGGGGTGAAGTTAGAAGTTTACATATTAGAAACTCACTCAACCAAGTTAACATGAATCAACAGCAAGATTTACATAGAAAATCACATGGATTCAGTGAGGCAGGATCCATTTCCATCTGCTGTAGTTTCATAGTAGGCGAGCGAGTTAGCAAAGATGCTTAGGCTAATAGAAAAGAGTGCATTAGTGCATACCATTTAACAACAGTTCATAGTGTGAATATTGGCTGAAAATAACAGGTGTATTACATTCTTTTCACATGTCCATCACACTTGCCAAATTAGATGTCTAATCAATAGGTTCATACTCCATGCTCCCCATTGAAGGAGATGGATTAGTTGTTATTTGTCTTCTATGAATTTCACAGTGGTTTTAAATGGTAAACCAAGGGGAAGATTCAATGTTTCTAGGGGTTTGAGACTGGGGATCCGCTCACCTTTTCTTTTTACTTTGGTGGTTGATGGATTGAGTAGCTTGGTCGAGAGAGGAGTGGAATATAATTTAGTGGAAGGTTTTCTAGTGGAGAATGATAGGATTAAAGTTTTCATCTTCAGTTTGCGGATGACACCATTTTTTTCTCAACTAGAAACGAGCAAAAATTTTGCTGTTAACTGTAGCCATCCAAAAGCCATACCTCGATTGCTGTCATCAGTAGAATCAGCAACAAGGGACAGAATAGCTGGGGTAACTATGGCTAGTCCTATCCCATTCAGACATCTTGAAATTGCCACTTGAATGATCAGATGTCAACAACAAGAGGGTTATTTCGTGTATGATTGGGAGATGCGAAGAGTCAAATGCATTCAAGAAATGTGTCTCATTCAGTCCAGAGTTTATCTTCCTCAACCCAGCATGGAATTCTTCTTCAATTAGGATTGATGTGCAAAGGATTTGAGTTTTTTTATTTGTTTGCTTTTTCAAGTGCATAGGGTTTTTCCAAGTATCAATCTGCATGGCATTTGGGTCTCTTATCCTACTGTGGCTGCTCTTGTACTATATGACAGGACTTTCAATTAGAATCTCACGGGGTGAAGTTAGAAGTTTACATATTAGAAACTCACTCAACCAAGTTAACATGAATCAACAGCAAGATTTACATAGAAAATCACATGGATTCAGTGAGGCAGGATCCATTTCCATCTGCTGTAGTTTCATAGTAGGCGAGCGAGTTAGCAAAGATGCTTAGGCTAATAGAAAAGAGTGCATTAGTGCATACCATTTAACAACAGTTCATAGTGTGAATATTGGCTGAAAATAACAGGTGTATTACATTCTTTTCACATGTCCATNCTAATGAGACAATATTACCTCCTAAGAAAGTACAATAACCAGTGGTTGATCTCTGGTCAAAAGGAGAGTCAGCCCAATCAACATCTGAGAAATTTTCTACTCTAAGATATCCATTAGCTCAATATAACAGTCCAAGTCCAGGAGCTCGTTTGAGATNGGGTAACTATGGCTAGTCCTATCCCATTCAGACATCTTGAAATTGCCACTTGAATGATCAGATGTCAACAACAAGAGGGTTATTTCGTGTATGATTGGGAGATGCGAAGAGTCAAATGCATTCAAGAAATGTGTCTCATTCAGTCCAGAGTTTATCTTCCTCAACCCAGCATGGAATTCTTCTTCAATTAGGATTGATGTGCAAAGGATTTGAGTTTTTTTATTTGTTTGCTTTTTCAAGTGCATAGGGTTTTTCCAAGTATCAATCTGCATGGCATTTGGGTCTCTTATCCTACTGTGGCTGCTCTTGTACTATATGACAGGACTTTCAATTAGAATCTCACGGGGTGAAGTTAGAAGTTTACATATTAGAAACTCACTCAACCAAGTTAACATGAATCAACAGCAAGATTTACATAGAAAATCACATGGATTCAGTGAGGCAGGATCCATTTCCATCTGCTGTAGTTTCATAGTAGGCGAGCGAGTTAGCAAAGATGCTTAGGCTAATAGAAAAGAGTGCATTAGTGCATACCATTTAACAACAGTTCATAGTGTGAATATTGGCTGAAAATAACAGGTGTATTACATTCTTTTCACATGTCCATCACACTTGCCAAATTAGATGTCTAATCAATAGGTTCATACTCCATGCTCCCCATTGAAGGAGATGGATTAGTTGTTATTTGTCTTCTATGAATTTCACAGTGGTTTTAAATGGTAAACCAAGGGAAAGATTTAATGCTTCTAGGGGTTTGAGATTGGGGATCCACTCACCTTTTCTTTTTACTTTGGTTGTTGATGGATTGAGTAGATTGGCTGAGAGAGGAGTGGAATATAATTTAGTGGATGATTTTCTAGAGGGGAATGATAGGATTAAAGTTTTCATCTTTAGCTTGTGGATGACACCATTTTTTTCTCATCTAGAGACAAGCAAAAATTTTAGAATTTGGTGGAAATTGTTAAGGACTTTTAGCTTGGTTTTGGGGTTGAAGTGAATATGTCCAAGAGCTTAGTTGTTGACATTAACTCTTCTAGGTGTAAGATAGAAGATACCTTTAACTTAGGATTAGTCAGTTCTATTTCTCGATGGGGACAGAGAATGGATATAACTCAACAGTAGGGTGTCACCTTGACTTGGTGGAAGTCATCAGTTCAAGCCTGATTATCCCTAAACCCAATTTGGGTTTTTCTATTTTCATTTGCTCCCCATCGTGATTGAATGAGAATGGATGAGTGTGAGGCAAACGAGTGGCCATTAAAGTATCTAGGTCTTCTGTTGGGGGATAATCCTTTATTCCTAAAATTTTGGAATTCTGTTGTGGAAAGAGTGAAAAAAAGATTTGAATGGGTGGAAAAAGAGTTATGTGTGTTAAGTTGATAGGATTAACATAACACAATATTAGAGACAATATTAGGGCGAAAGAAAGAGGTTAAAAAACTTAACCTAACTCTCATACATAACTTGTATTTATACTTAACCTACAATAATAAGAATTGCACATACACTCTCGTACTATTAACAATTTACACATACTATCCTATTATTCTTAACACTCTCCCTCAAGCTGGACTATATATATCATATAATTCAAGCGTAGAACAAATAGCTATAAGACGTGTACGACTCAATACTTTGGTAAACATATGTGCAAGTTGATCTTCAGATTTCACAAATGGAGTTGTAATCTCCCCAACTACTATCATGTCCCGAATAAAGTGACAATGACCTCAATATGCTTGGTTCTCTCGTAAAACACAGGATTGACAGCGATATGGATGGTTGTCTGGTTGTCACAGAACAACTGTCAAGGAAGTTAAACTGCAAACCCAAGTTCTTGGAGAAAGTGTAGTAGTCAAGTTAACTCACTCGTCGTATGTGTCATTGCCCTATACTCAGCCTCAGCACTGGATCTTGCTACCATGGGTTGTTTCTTACTTTTCTAATGAGACAATATTACCTCCTAAGAAAGTACAATAACCAGTGGTTGATCTCTGGTCAAAAGGAGAGTCAGCCCAATCAACATCTGAGAAATTTTCTACTCTAAGATATCCATTAGCTCAATATAACAGTCCAAGTCCAGGAGCTCGTTTGAGATATCGCAGAATACGAGTAACTGCCTCCCAATGTGGTACTCTAGGACATCCCATGAACTGACTTACTATACTGACTGCATAGGAAATATCCGATCGAGTAATAGTGAGATAATTAAGCTTCTCGACCAATCTACGATACCAACCCGAATTCTCAAACAATGCACCATCATCTATCAATAATTTCTGATTCGGATTCATAGGAACATCAATCGGTCTACCACCCAACAAACCTGCTTCCTTAAGCATATCAAGTACATATTTCCTCTAGGATAAGCAAATACCCTATTTAGATTGAGCCACCTCAATACCCAAAAAATACCTAAATTTTCCTAAATTCTTAGTATGAAATCGATCCTGTAAGAATATTTTTAACTTGGCAATCCCCTTAAAATCATTTCCAGTAATCACAATATCATCTACATAGACCACTAATAGAACATATCCAACATCTGTCTGTCTATGAAATACATAATGATTTGTCTGACATCGAATAAGACCAAACTCTAAAACTGCATCTGAAAACTTACCAAACCATGCCGTCAGTAACTACTTCAAAATATACAAAGAGTTCTTTAACCGATATACACTCTTACCATACTCCCCCTAAGTAGTAAATCCAGGTGGCTGCTCCATGTATACCTCCTCAACCAAGTCACCATGTAGGAAGGCATTTTTAATGTCTAACTGAAACAAGGGTCAATTAAGATTAGCAGCCAAAGAGATCAAGATACGAACAGAGGAAATTTTGGCAATAGGAGAAAAAGTCTCCTCATAATCAACACCATAAGTCTGAGTAAAGCCCTTTGCAACAAATCGGGCTCTGAGACGCTCCACAGAACCATCTAGATGAAATTTAACAGTATACACCCAACGATAGCCAACAGTTAGTTTACTAGGGGGTAAAGGAACGAGATCCCAAGTCCCATTATGATATAAAACATTCATCTCCTCCTCCAAAACTTTCCTCTAGCCCGGATCAGATAATGCATCCTGTAAATACTTANTACTTTGGTTGTTGATGGATTGAGTAGATTGGCTGAGAGAGGAGTGGAATATAATTTAGTGGATGATTTTCTAGAGGGGAATGATAGGATTAAAGTTTTCATCTTTAGCTTGTGGATGACACCATTTTTTTCTCATCTAGAGACAAGCAAAAATTTTAGAATTTGGTGGAAATTGTTAAGGACTTTTAGCTTGGTTTTGGGGTTGAAGTGAATATGTCCAAGAGCTTAGTTGTTGACATTAACTCTTCTAGGTGTAAGATAGAAGATACCTTTAACTTAGGATTAGTCAGTTCTATTTCTCGATGGGGACAGAGAATGGATATAACTCAACAGTAGGGTGTCACCTTGACTTGGTGGAAGTCATCAGTTCAAGCCTGATTATCCCTAAACCCAATTTGGGTTTTTCTATTTTCATTTGCTCCCCATCGTGATTGAATGAGAATGGATGAGTGTGAGGCAAACGAGTGGCCATTAAAGTATCTAGGTCTTCTGTTGGGGGATAATCCTTTATTCCTAAAATTTTGGAATTCTGTTGTGGAAAGAGTGAAAAAAAGATTTGAATGGGTGGAAAAAGAGTTATGTGTGTTAAGTTGATAGGATTAACATAACACAATATTAGAGACAATATTAGGGCGAAAGAAAGAGGTTAAAAAACTTAACCTAACTCTCATACATAACTTGTATTTATACTTAACCTACAATAATAAGAATTGCACATACACTCTCGTACTATTAACAATTTACACATACTATCCTATTATTCTTAACACTCTCCCTCAAGCTGGACTATATATATCATATAATTCAAGCGTAGAACAAATAGCTATAAGACGTGTACGACTCAATACTTTGGTAAACATATGTGCAAGTTGATCTTCAGATTTCACAAATGGAGTTGTAATCTCCCCAACTACTATCATGTCCCGAATAAAGTGACAATGACCTCAATATGCTTGGTTCTCTCGTAAAACACAGGATTGACAGCGATATGGATGGTTGTCTGGTTGTCACAGAACAACTGTCAAGGAAGTTAAACTGCAAACCCAAGTTCTTGGAGAAAGTGTAGTAGTCAAGTTAACTCACTCGTCGTATGTGTCATTGCCCTATACTCAGCCTCAGCACTGGATCTTGCTACCATGGGTTGTTTCTTACTTTTCTAATGAGACAATATTACCTCCTAAGAAAGTACAATAACCAGTGGTTGATCTCTGGTCAAAAGGAGAGTCAGCCCAATCAACATCTGAGAAATTTTCTACTCTAAGATATCCATTAGCTCAATATAACAGTCCAAGTCCAGGAGCTCGTTTGAGATATCGCAGAATACGAGTAACTGCCTCCCAATGTGGTACTCTAGGACATCCCATGAACTGACTTACTATACTGACTGCATAGGAAATATCCGATCGAGTAATAGTGAGATAATTAAGCTTCTCGACCAATCTACGATACCAACCCGAATTCTCAAACAATGCACCATCATCTATCAATAATTTCTGATTCGGATTCATAGGAACATCAATCGGTCTACCACCCAACAAACCTGCTTCCTTAAGCATATCAAGTACATATTTCCTCTAGGATAAGCAAATACCCTATTTAGATTGAGCCACCTCAATACCCAAAAAATACCTAAATTTTCCTAAATTCTTAGTATGAAATCGATCCTGTAAGA